ATTATTATTATTATTATTATTAACTTTTGTTTACAAAAATCCTTCATATGCCCCTGTTGGCAAAATATATATATATATATACTTCTTCTGTAAACAGTTAACCACAAACAAAAAGAAATTCCATATTTTCACACAGTTACTATGCTGATGGTGTTATGTAAACAAAGAGGAGTGTGCAGCAGCATCTCATGAAAGGATTTCATTCTTTTACTCATGAGAATATGCAGGGAAATGTACCCATCGTAAATTGTTCAAAAGTGTATAGTTTTCAGAAGGTATGGCTTTCTGAAGTTTAAGTTTTCCTTAATGCAAAAAGAAAAATAAAGAAACAGAGAGGTACAGCTTTCCTTGGGTTTTGTTTGTTTGTTTCCTGGACTTTAGCTTTTGATTTGTCTCAATGAACTGGAATGAAAATTTTATGAAAAAGGTTGGTCTGTGTGAATGGAAATATTAGATATTGCCAAGTGTCTATATTATGCCACCATGAGCAAGGTTAAAGACAGAAGAGAATGACCTTCTCACAAAAGACTTTGTGCAAGTGTAAATCCAGCTCTCAGTCTCACAGTCCAGCACTTCTCAGAAGACAAACAAACAAACTGAAAATGTCACAATGACCTTATGCTATATCTCTGAGAGAGTAAAAGAAAAGACATAAAAAGCAATGGGAGATATATTGGTAATGAAAACTGGAATAATGTAGACAGACATATTGAGTTTGTATGGAGAAAATATTGTTCATCCAAAATTTTAGCTGCTTTTTATACTTTTGTATTTTTTCAAAGTTTTTTGGTTTTTTTTTTTAGTCTTATGTTCAACCGTTGTTTGACTTCTTCTGTTTCTAAATGTAGGCATTCCCTTGTTCCTGAGAGGACTTTATCTGTTTTGTTGCCTGTTGGGTGTTGGATTGGGGAATGCACTCAGCGGTCACACAGCTGCATTGCTCCACGTAGGTGTACGAGTGATCAAGGTAAGTTCCATCACTGCACATCAGAGTCACCTTTCTTTGGCTGGTCTTAATATCCTGACAACATGAGCATTTATGTTCCATTGTGTTCGCCTCTGAAGAATATCTGAGAGCAAAAGCAACAAAAGAGAAAGATTCAGAAATTAAGTGAGAAATATCACTGACCCTCCCACTGACCCATTACTAAATATAACCAAAAGCTGTGTTTTGCTAATGGGGCTATTGCTCAGTGTTACCATTCCTACAGTGTTGTGGTGAAATATAAGTAAGTTCCTATTGTAAAAATGGTTCTAGCTCTTCATTAAGTCACAGAAAAATTAAATTAATTAATCCAAATCACATATTAAGCCAATCCAAAGTGAGAGAATAGGGAGAAACTAATATTCTCACTTTTACATGGGCAAAATCAAAACTCAGTGAATACTATGAGACTGAACAAGCTGTTAAGACATTGTGAGTCTTGAGGTAATTAAGCTAGTCTCAATTAACACCACATCTGTTAAAAATTCTACTTAGCACAATGGAAAGAGCTGATGACTGGGTGCATGTTGGACATATTAGAAAATTAATTGCAATTTGCTTTATGTAACTAGTGTAAAGAGTAGAAGGCAAGACCACAGTTATCTTTTTTACCACTTACCGTGAGTAAGCGTCACAGCTGCCTTCACAGTACGTCATCTCAACAGGAACAGGAGATACACATCCACCGTACTTGATGACAGTAGTGGTATTGTACTTCTTACAATCTGAGGTGGTCACAAACCAAGGGAAAATAAGTTAAAATATATGTGTATATAAATAGATATCTGTGTATGATAGTTTATAGTAGAAAACTGATATGGGTGGGGCTGAAACAAGAAATTTGGTCACAGTGCATCTCTCTTCTAACTGCTGAGGGACAAATGATGGCTCTTGCTGCTTGTGTTATCAATGAATGAAAAATTCAGTTTTCCTTATGCAACTTTGGTGCAGGATGCAGAAATAAAGAGCAGTACTGTGGCAACTGCTCGATGCACACCCACCTCCCAGGACTGGCTTCACTTTCTTCCTCAAAGAGAATGTATCTCTGGAAGTTGGAGAATAGTCACAGTACTTTTCCTCCCACAAAAAGGCTAACATTTAACAGTAGGAGATGGGAAAGTTCACCATATCCTTGTTTTCCAAGGCCCTATAGTGCACGTTGGAAATGTTCTGTTCCTTTCTTTTTCTACCTGTTTTCTTTCTCACCCTAGTGTGAGGCAGTGGTCCCAAGCTTGGTCTGTTCACATCTTCTGTCTATGCATCTACCATGCAAGATGGACTAATATGCCTAATAAAGCACACATTATCATTACTGACTCTTAACCAAATTATCATTACTTACTCAGCTGGTGTATTTGGCATGTTTTACAGCAGCCATCCTCAGAAAGCTTGATGTTATCCTTGAGTGGGAAAACAGAAAAAGATAATTTGGTTTCTGATCTGCATACTAAAGCAGAGACTTTCTCTGCTTCTTAAGTTTCTGTGGCACCAGAAAGTTTTTTGTATTTATATGGAATCCAGTTTTAGGCAAGGTTAAAAATTAAGGGCACATAACTGCTTCAATTCAATATTAATGAGAGTTAGTTTGTTGAGAGCTAACATTGAGGAGCACTGCAGCTGCTTTGCTGTCACCAGAGTTCAGTAGTAAAATTTCAGAAATAAAGACTGTAGCACGTGTGGGATATTTTGAGTGACCAAAGCCAGTACAGGTGAAGGATTATGTCAGGGTAACACAATTAGTGAAATAACTGACTCCCCAGATGTGTGGGGCTAGTTCTAATCTACCCTGATCTTTATTAAGTTGAATGATGTTGTGAACTGAAGTAGTTTATTTTCCTTCACCTTTGCTCTCAGTAACTGAATTCTAAAAAAGAATTTATAATCTTAAATAATTTAGGAATAAAAATCTAATTATTTTTCAATAAGATTCTTGCTTCTAAGTCACCTGACACTTTTAGGAATTCAAAACATTATGCTGTACTCTTTTCTCTAGTGCCCAGTCCTCAATGAGGATTGATATATCACCCATTTTAATTTCGATTTCCTTTTCTGAGATTTAATTTGATGGGGATCAGATTCACAGAGGATAAAATGAGAGGTACATCCTCTGTGATGTGTCTGCTAGGTATTTTCCTTGGACACTATAATCCTTCTATCACTGGTGTTAGCCACGGCAACCTTTTCAAACATGAGAACTGGTAGAAGAGCACTTACTGGATCACAGTCGTCAGGGTTAAAGGGAGGACAGCTTTTCTCTAAGATGACTTGAATGAACTGGTCCTCGTATTTTTCACATGTGTAAGTTATACATTTATCACCAAATGGGTTCCACAATTCTCCAACCTGAAAGTAGTTAAAACTAAAGTGAATAAAAATCTTCCTACATAAAAGTGAAACAAAAAAACCCCACCCCAGTGTCCTTTCGTTGCTGCCTGTTGCAGTTTGATTATTCCTAACAATTTCCTAGAATTTCATAGTTGCCTGTTATATTATCATGCTGCTGTAAGTAATTTTCATTAACCTCGAGAAGAGGCTGTATTTTTATCTGGATATGGATATGCTTTTTGTGTGAATAGGGTAAGTATGTGGATGCATTTGGAAAGATTAATTTGTGTTTCAATGGTTTTGTCATCAGAATTTATGGATATATCCATTGATATATATGGATATGGATATATATGGATATATCAATGGATATATGGATATATCCATCCCATGATGTCCATATATCATTAATGGCAGAATTTCTACTGGCTTTGCTGACTCATCCTGTCCTAAAGCTCTCAACTAATTTGAGATTGGCTCTTTGGAGCAGAAAACCGCCTCCACAGGTCAAACTGTCCTCTGAGCAAAATGAGTGTTATATTTTCAGAACTGAAGGCAAATAAGGGACCATTGCTTTCACCTGTGTATTTTTCAATGTTGATTTCTGAAGGCCATTGTTCAGTATCATAGTTGCTTCAAGAAGTTTTAGTTAGAACTGGAATTTCAGGGCTCAAGGTACTATGTGAAAAAGTCCCTGCCTCAATAAACATTTGTGTAACATGAGAAAAGATGCAGCAAATAAATGTGCCAAAGACAAGGAGAGGAAAGAATGAAAGATGAGCAGAGTTCACCAAAAGTGAACGAAACCAGGGATAGTTACTTGAAGCACGCGCGTAATGTTGTCTCCCGCAGACACTATACAAGCCGCTGCCTTGCATGTGCCGCAGCACTGTCCAGGATTCACTGTATACTTATAACCCTGTTTTGAAAGAAACAAAGAGGAAATTAGAGTCAAGACACTGACCTTAACTGGCAGATATTTGAGGTGAGTGGGGTGGGAATTACTGACAACACAATGTCACTTACCGCTGGGCAGTATGTGTCACAGATAACAGACTCACACTTGACGCTAGCCTGTTGAGAGCCTAAGTAAGAGGATTCAGAGCAGATGCATTCTTCACAGGGGCCTGATGGAATGATAGTTCCAGGCTAGGGAAGGTCAGAAAAATTGTCATTATTAGTCAGTAAAAGCAAGTTACTTTGTGTATGTACATCACAGACAATACAAAGCTGTACTATGGGCTAAACTATCCTTAAACACCATTTTTGTTGTTTTATTTAAGCAGAGTTTCTGTTCTTGGTAATATCAATTTTGGAATTAAATTCTGCTAATGCAGAAAGGAGAGCAGCAAATGCTCTGAGAGCAGCTTGTAGGGAAGATGTTGACATGCTGACCTCAATTAAATAATTAATAATGCTTTATCTCACGCCTAACTGCAAACTATGGTCCATGATAGGAGTCTTAAAAACACTGCATTGTGAGCCTATGCAAAGGTGTATTTTTATAGTGAGTTACTCTGTGTACTTACTGCATAGTAGGTTTCATTGACTACACAGCCGTGTTCTGTAAAGAAGGAAGAAAGATGGTGTCATAGAAGTGTAAGTGTTAAGAAGCTGAAGTATGTGAAGAAACTGCTGTTTTGTTGACCCAATACAATAACATATAATTTGCATCTTTCTCTTTTAAGGTTTTTGTATTCATAAACGTGGAGAAATATAGCTGTGAATAACACGTGAAGAAGTTGCGTAGTACTTACTGCATTCAAATCTAGGACAGCATTTTCCAGGCTGCATTATTGTGATGACTTCCTGTCCATCTAAGCACTGGGGAGTCATCTCAGGGCAGAGGCTGGTGTTGCAATCTGTTTAACGTAAGAGAATATAGAAAATAATGAACTCAGAATTTTTAAATGAAAGTCATTTTGTTTTGCATTAACTTCAGAAGTTTTCCCATAGGAGATATGTGGTGATGTTTACACAGCTTAGTTTAATAACTAATCCAGTGTATTTGCCCAGCTATTTTCACAGTGAATGGGCTTTTCAATAACCTTACTAAAACAAAGCATTATCTGAGAAGAATAGAGTGGTGATTGCTGGAAAGAGATACTTCCACTGAGAAATTTGTATCAATTTAGAAATCTGATGACTCTGACATTCAGGAACTTTCTTGAGCAATTTTCAGATGTTCAAGACATATTTTTTTTTAAGATAATTTTTTTATACTGGTCTTTGAAAATTAAAATACTTTGAATAGTTTTTGAATACTGTTTCGGGTGGTGGCAGCATTAAAGTTTTTCAGTGTTAAATTTTAGGACATTTCCAGTTACTTTTTTGTGTCTAACTATGTAAAATCTTTTAATCTTTAATTTTTTCTCTTCAGGCATCAAGTAAATGCTATGAAAGAAGGTCCTAAGAAGTGGGATGAGAGAGAAAAGCATTATGAAATCAATGCAAAATATATATATATAAAAAAAATTGCTGTAGTTCCCCCAAATGAATATAGTATATTCCCCATGATAAAGAACTAAGACAGTACTTACAGCACTCAGTCCTGGTACAGCATGGATCTTCTGGTATCTGTACCTGAACAGGCATGTAACCTGGTTCATCACAAAATACTTGCTGTCTCAGAGGACATTCGTGTTTTGTACAGTGCACTTCAAGAGTATTTTTGTCGCAGACACATTCCTGGCAATCTCTTGTCCATTTTTCTCCTGGCTGTATAAAAAGGAAACAAGAAAAAAAAAAAAAAAAAGGAAAAAAAAAATTCAAACCAAAATAATTCTTTTGGTTTCTAGTTGACTTAGTCATGGATGATTACATCAGTCTTTTCATATTTCTAGTATTTTTAGATTTTATAAGAAACCCTCAAACTGAAGCTAATTAAGAGAAGATACTGGAGTCCACTGAACCTTCCGGGCATGTTCACACAGCTATTACTTTCTGTTAGTAGTGTTAGTACGAGGGATACAAGGGGTCCAAAGGAGAAGTGATTGAGCTTTGCGTGTATTTTTGAATAAGAAATTATCTACCACATACTCCTTTGCACATTAGATTACAGAGAAATTTCTATAATTTGTGTACAGCTGAGGAACTGAGAATGCAAAGTGTCAACATTACGAGAAGTAGGTGAACTTTGTTAGTCATCTGTCCCTTCATCTCTAGTAACTTTAGTAAGCCAATTTTGTGGAAATAAAAGAAGCATATATGGCAAAGTTCCACTGCTACCATCTATCTCTTTTTTCTCTCAATATGTGACGTGATGGCTATTGAAAGACTATCCCATCACTTACTGTTAAGTTTCTTGGGGAGTAATGTGGTAACGTTTTGGCACTCATAGTTATTTTTAAGACTAAAAAAGAATGAACATTTGAAAAAAAAACCCTAAACTCTTCCCCAACCTAAGCAAAACTTTCTTTTTGTGAAGCACTAAATTCCCTCTTGCTTCACTTGTCTGTGCTTGATAAACCACACTGATTGTGATACTCACCCATCTGGACACTCCATTTGGTTCCCTGCAAGCTGGAAAGAAAAAAAAAAAAGAATGAAAAGTGACATAAAGGAATAAACTTGTGCAGTTTCAAATAGAAATACTGTGAAGATAAAACTAACAAGAAAATGAATATGCAGACTAGTTCTTCTGAAATGTAGAATTTTGCCATCTTGGTATGTCTCATGTAAGGAAGGAAGATGGACAAAAGTTAGTATCAATGATTGTTTGATTTTTAGATGGGATGACTAAAGGATCTTAAAGAGGCTGATTTGCCCATGTCCTGAGCATATAGAAGATGGCAGTAGAACACAGGCCTCCTGACTATTAGTCCTGATCTCTGTTTATTTCCCAACCTAGCTACAGATTACTTACAGCATTCTGAGACACAGATGTCGCTGTCTTCACTCATGAGTGTCTTTCCTTCAGGACAGTAACATCCTTCAGTTACTCCATAGCCAGGATGCTCAACAAAGCTAGAGTGGGAGGAATGTATGTATTTGAGTACAACATTTTTGCAATGAAGCCAGAGAGAGAGCAGCATATGGAGAGCAGCATATTGCCATGTCAGATACAAGGAAGACAAAAGAATTTCCATTTTCTGAAGTGCAACAGGAAGTGCATAGTCATAGAGTTAACTGATATTTATAAATCTTGAACAAATTATCCAAATTCACAAGACATTTCATTGTGAAGTAACTCCATTTTCTAAAGAAGATAGCTAGGTAAAAATAGAAAAAAATAAAAAGATAAGCATTTGGTTTTGTCTTCCCATACCTTGAGTCACAGGTAGCAGGATTGATGGGCCCACATGGTTTGTATACCATGTTTGGTGGACAGTTGTATGCTGTGTGGAAAAAAAAGGAAAAAGGTTAAAAATTTTGTCAGTAGATGCATTTTTTTTCAGCAAAAGTGACTAAAGCTTTCCCTTACTCATCTGCAGCTTCTATGAGTAAGGGCGTTGCTGTATTTTTGTAGACAGTAGTAGTTCAAGTGTTAGATGGAAGATGTGTTTAGTGAGTAAAACACTAATTACTACCATTTCTCACACACATTTTTGAGTTCTGCAATACTTACGGCATACATTGTTGGTCTTTCCTCTCCAGTTAATGCAGACACCTCTAGCAGCACACTCTGTAGCATATACCTCCAAACTGGAGCACTGCATGGATTCATCCGCTATGCGACATCCATCAAAGACACAGCCTTTGAAAAATGGTTCTGGTGGTATCACGGCATGGCATTCTGCAAAAATCCTGCAGACAGAAAAGAAACCAAATCCCTTTAATGTTAACCAGTCATGACATGAAATCTGTTCCTGTCAGATAGCACTTCCCAGTTAATGGCACGTGACTGCTTCAGAAAGGAATGAATTATGAGAAACAAAAGTTCAAGAATGGCAAATAATCTGGGAGATAGATTCAGGAAAGGAAAGATTAGGAAATTTGAAGCTACATTTTTTTTTTCTAGAGAAGTTAATGGTCATAGTGTTTCTGTATATGTACATAATTTTTCATCAGTCTGACGGCAGAAATTTCATGAAAAAGGCAACTGCATCAGATTGAAGAAAAAGAGGTGATAAGAGTAGCCAAGAGATAGAAAAAATACACATCCAATAGCTCATAACTTGTTATCCATTACAGCAAGCATGTGTAAAGGGACCTTTCTAAGTGACCTAGCTGAAAAAAAGCTTTCGTCAGAGCTCACGCGAGTATAGGAAATCCTGCAGGAAACAAGCCTTTGTGTTTTTGAAGCTCCATGTTTTACATAAAATATACAAAGAATGAAGGACGCTTTTTGGCTGAGATGTTTCTGTTTGTTCTGTTAACCTGGTTGGTAACCAGGTTCTTTATGGTTTGTACTGAAGGTCCGCTTCAAATTTAAGAGTTCAGTCTTTACTTAATAGTGTAACTAGGAGTGATTGAGCATACCCTGGAAGGGAGGGAGAAAGATAACATAAATCTGTGTGGCTGCAACACAGGGAGTATGGATTTTAGTGCTTGCTGCATCTGACTTCTGATTTTCTGACTTCACATCTCCTTGCTCTGTTATCTTTGGCATGCAAGTCATTAAAGAAGAGCAGTTTCTTTTGCAAAGGATTTTTACTATATATATATATGCTGTCATTAAGCTGACATTTTCAGCTGTTATCACATGCTAGGGCTATGGTTCTTACTCTTCTTGTAAGATATTGAGATGGTTTTGTCTAGAAAGAGTGAATTAATACAGTTTTTTTCTTACTCGCTCCAGATAAGCTTGCAGAGAGGAGGTGTTTCACAGTGAGGCTTTGGTGGAGGTGTGGTTACAACTGGTGGTACTGGTAATCCATGGCATGACTTGTCATTATCAACAATCCAGTGATGAGCCATTTGGGGACAGGAAGAAATGATCTTACCACTTGGTAAGCGGCATTCATCTGCTTTATTATTTGTACATGTTCCTGGAAGAGAGAAGCTGTGTAAGTCTCATAAGCCACATTAGAGGTGTACAATACATTACTGTGTTGATATCACATTTAGACGTGATGTGTCTTGCCTCACAGGGAGTGCTTTCTTTACAGTTATGTGAACTTTAATTTAGGTTGGGGAAAACAAAAAATAACCTAAAACCCCAGCCCCAAAATAAAAAAACAGGTTGCTGAAATATCGAGCTTTTGATCCTACAGAGGTTGAAGAGCAAAACTGTTTTCATTTTCATTTTACTACTGTTTAAATATTTCTGTCAGTCATGAGACTGCATAGTCAGAGTAGGTGAGAATAACTGTGGTAGGGTGGGGAAAGACTCCCACCTCCAGTTAGTGCATCTGTCTTACCACACTGTCCTTCGGTGTTGTTGCCAAATTTGCTGAATGGGAGTTTCACAGAGAAAATCATCCCACTAAAGGTGATAGTTGCACCAATCTCTGGTATTTCAACGATCATGTTGATGCCAAGTGTGGAGAAAGAAATACCGTCTTCTTTGAAGCCTGGTTTGACAATCTTATTGTTGAAGTACATCTGGATGCAGGGTTAAAAAAAACACAACTTCAGAACTAGCACTGCCTCTGCCTGATGGTTTTAAATAATGTATTTTCTAATCTTCATAATTATAGATAACTTCAGAGTGTTGTGCATGGCATTCAATGCCCATTGGCATCACAATAAGAGCATATATATGCATTAATATCTCAGCTTGTATTTCTATATTGCTACAGTGTGATGGTGATCTAAGTGGCCTCTATGTACTGTGTTTGTGCAGAATGTGTGCTAATGCACAGCATTCTAAATCCAAATATTTTCTTTGTATCCCTCATAATTTAGTTTACTGTAAATATTTTTCATAGGAAAATGAGTGGTAATGTTTTTTAACTACAGAAATATTGCTGCCATTATTATGTAAAAACTTTGCTGCAAAATCACACTGTCCCTATACTACATATTTCTTGGCATTGAAAGTTCTTTGAATTCAAAATGAAGGCAAATGCCCCTGGTGCCTGTTTTATGTAGCAGTCATTTATTGTTTAGTCTAAGCTGTTCCATTTGCAGCCTGTATTTTATATGATCTAATGAAGGTGGTTGTATTTACTTAATAACTTTTTGTCAGGACTTCTGCAACTTTCTTCTTGTGATAAAGAAAAAGTTAAAACTGTAGTTAGTGTTTTCTTTCACAGGGAATCACAGGACTAAGTGTTTCCACATGTCTTTCTGATTGTAGGTAAGGACAACTTGGCTCTGTAGGGGGAGAGTGGATATTGCGACAGAACTTTCCTCCACCTCCTCGTGTTCTCTAATCAACTAATAAATTCCCCAGTGTAAGAGTGGGACCGACCTTTTGTTTTCACTGGCTTGCCAGCAATAGTTTGGATCATGAAGGTGAAGTTACACCCCAGTCATCCCTTTTCTTCAGCTATGCCTCTCTTCCTAGCAGGGAATTGGAGGCGGAATCATGTCATGGCTCTATTTGTAGCCAGTAGTTCCCTATGCAGAGGAAGCAGTCCCCAGTCATCCAGCTGATAAGAAATATGTAGCCATCTTCACCTCCATCTTCTTCTCTATCAGCTTTATTAGTCTGTTTCCTAGTGTTATTTATCTATACACATAGGTGCACATGATATATTCATATCTGCATAGTGCTAGGCTGTTTCTGACATGTTGCACTTAGAAACTGATGTAATCTTTTTTTTTTTTTTCCTAATGACACCCCCTGCCCTCATCACCTCCATGACTTGATATTTTAACAGACTGTATTTCAAATGAGAATCAGCAAAGCCAATGGACCTTATTTCTTTTTTGCAAATCTAGAGAAATAAAAAAAATGTGTATTTTACCACATTGGTCATCACACCATTCATGCGTTCCCGGGTCAGCACCACTTTCGCAGATTTGTAGAAAATAATAATGGATTTAGGACAGGAAAGTCCATCTTCTGAATTGCAGTAATAATTGTCAATGTAAACACGGAAGTTGTCATATTTAGGTACAATCTGTTTTACCAGGACGTAAGTGCAGTTTTCAAGGAAAGTATAGTAGGTTCCATCAAAAGTAACGTAATGAGGATCACCCCATCCACTGCACACACCTGGTAGAGAGAAAATATTTAGAAGATGAACATGAAGATTAATGTTGAATAAAGAGTGTAGAAACTGAAGTGAATATACTACAATTTATGAAGCAACCCTAAGAAAACAAAATTCCCATATAATCTCTCAGGTTATTCCTTAGTCTGCTGGTGCTTACATTGACACTCATAGTGGTAACAGCAGCCGTTTTCATCAGGTACCAGTATTGCCGGATATTTGTTTGCACAAGTAATTTCCTTTACAGGTGCGCAGTGCGTTGGAATTACTTCTACCTTGTTGTCTCCCTTACAGATGAGTTCTGTACAGTTGGATAATTTGTATCTTTGTCCAGGCTGCAAAATTTAAAAAAAAAAAAAAAATGCTGTCACAGGAGTTTGCAAACAGATACAAATTTTACCCATATTTTTAGTTTTATGGTATATTGCTGTAATGGTGGTGTTGGAAAGGACATTAGTATATGTTACTTCTCTTCAATTTCTGCTACTAATAATTTGTAATGTTGACCATAGGCATTCATAATTCTCACCGTGATATGGAGGATCAGAAACTGTTTTCTAAATCTGAAGCAAAGACTGAAATGAAAACCTTCACTGATAGTACAAGGTTGTCGATATTCTACACAATTAATTTTTTATGCTAAAATGAGGTAGGGAGCTTAATTCCAGCTACTTCATGGCATAAGGAGCAATTCTGAGGTTTGGGGGGACAGGTTTTAGGTTAAGGGAACTATGTATACTGTATTTCAATATCAGCACAGACCGTCACTATCAACAAAACACAAATACCAAAAGATGTACATATGTACAGGTAAGAAGGCAGAAGAACAGAAACAGATACAAACCTCCCTGGAAATGTGCACACATAAAGTTTAAAGACTGCAAACATTTGCTTTCTCATATAAACCTAACATAGATGTTATTTCAAAAGTCAGAATACAGAAACTATGTACCTGTAGGGGAGGGTAAGTAGAAGAAACACACCCATGAAAAGGAACCCTTCCAGAAGTGGTAGGCAGAGGAACTGTTGTTGTTACAGTAGACCATACAGGGGAAGTAGTGGTTAGAGGAGTAGTAATGTTACAGTGCCCAGTGTGTCGTTCAATTGTACATGTTTCACTACAGACGGCATAAAATATACATCCTTCGCTGTCCGTTCTATTGTAAATCAAATCACCTAAAGGAAAAAAAGAAAATGAAAAAACAAACAAACAAAAAATTTTAAAACTTCAAAAAGGCAACAAGGCACTACAAAATTTCCAATTACAATACCTGCATGTATTGAAAAGAAAATTAGAAAAAATGCGGTGGAAAAAAACCCCCAAAAGTATTAAATATGGGACATATATACTGATAAAAACAGGTAAACTGACCAGGTGAAAAAATAGTGTCCCCAATTTTGCAGAAACATGGTGTTGTTGAAGAAGTAGGAGTGCTGGTAAACAAGGATTCAGATGTAGTAGGAGCAGTGGTAGTGGTGGTGGGCAGGGAACTGGGGGGTGGGCAGTTGGGGTTAGGGCTGCAGCA